ATAATTATACTGGTTGTTTCTTGTGTTCTGGCTTTGACTATGAGGAGGAATGTATTCAGGATTTTTGGTGTTGTGGTGGTGTTTGTTTGGGTTTTTGTTCCCTTTTCTTTTTTCCCTTCTAGAGCAAGCAGTGCAGTTTCTGCTATTAAAATACTCCGGACAGCAGTTGCTGCCCACGTACAGCACCAAAATGTGTGTTTAGTGGTTACCAGACATGCTTGCTCTGGGTGTGCCTCCTTGTTTTGTTCAGTAAAAGTGTCCATGTATATGAATGGCTGTAATTTATCACTGCCATGAGGCTCAGGAGATGAAATTAACATTAGTAACTTGTGCTTTGGGCATGCCAGAATTGTATACATTGATTTGTGATTTTTGAATTCAAGTTTTTCTTGGAGCTGTGTCTCTTTTGCAGAATAGAGACCACAGCGTGAAAAGGATGCTGCCTGGGATGACACTGGGCTGCAGCAGTGCCCTAGGAGACTCTTGATAAGGAAGAGGCAAATGGCTGGGATATCACCTCAGTTAGTTCCTGCAATAGGAAATTAATTTAGGCAGAATATGCCGCTTTTGTGCCTCAGCTTCCCCACTGGGAAGTAAATACAGCATGACATGCCTTTTAACTTCCTTAGACAGCTTCCATACTCTCCCATCTGTGTAATGATGTCAGAAAACAGATACAGGCTTTGGAGAAATACCTTAACTGCAAGGTGTGGTGAGATGCTCACGCAGGAGTGGTGAAAAGCCAAGTGTTGGAGTATTTCCAAGCCACGCTCAAGCAAGCACTGAGATGCCATAGCGCTGTGAAGTTCAGTGCTTGTTGGACCTTCTGTCTACAGGCATTGCTGAGACCATCTTTTCCTTAGAAAGAAGGCTAGAAAGGGTTTATGAGCATGTGTGTGTGCGTATGTGTGCTCCTTAGGAGCAAGCAGGAGTTACTCTTCCTCCCTCGTACTATTTCTGTAGTATGTGTGGCACACACATGCGTATGAGATGCAAGGCGATGGGACAAGATGCAGCCTGGCAGTAGCTCATTTCTGTCAGACCTTTGTCTGGATCAGTATTACTTGACATATTCTGGGTTGTGTGCATCATTAAGATGATTTCAGTGCCTGTGCTTGGAGAATCTGCTGTGTCTATTTTTGTTTGTATCTCTGCGACTGATCCAGGGCCATATGTTAAGAATATAACTGCTTTTTCTCCCCACCCCCCTTTTTTGTTTAAACCATTGGTGTCTAAATATATCTAATAAAAACTGCAGCCTGGAACTCTGATGAGGTGATAAGTCATTCCTGCCTCTCTTCTTTTTAAGACAAAACCACCTCACACACTGGCTTCTTTTTGTATGGACTTCTGCTTTGCATTTCTACACATTTATCATAGCATTTGTCATAGCCTCTCACAAAAGGCAGTAAGGAAAGCCTGCTGAACAGACTGTTTTGGTGTGCATAAACCTGAACTCTTGTGAAGGGAAAACCTTGAGCTTTAGCAGGGGAAGCCACAGGCTATGTATGTGTGTGATGATAGTGTTTTTGGGAAAAACTAAGTGTTGAGTACGTTTAGCACGGTCTTGAGTTGTACAGCTAAGAACAGGAGCTGTTAGGAAGCCGTTTGCAAAGAGAAGTATTTCCAGTCGTGTTCCTTTCCTTTGCAAAATTGCAAAACTCAAGTGATTGGAAGTTTCTGCCACCCAAAGGAAAATCTTTGTATCACTGGCACTTCTCAGTTAAGTCAGTGGTTGCGGTTGTGTGAGTGGCAGCTGGGAGTGTGTGTGGCTCAGCTGGGCACTGAGCTACGTATTTGCCATTTCTGATTTTGAACCTTTGGCTCTGTGAGGAAATAGCTTTGCTACAGGGACAGCTCTGTTTTGCAAGTGCACTGCTGTGCACGCTGCAGCAGCAAATGTACCGTGGTTGTGGTGTGACAGCTGAAGTTGGGCTAGACTGCTAAATCAGATTACGCTTGCACATGGTGGCTGGGTGTGAAATCCCAGGTGGCTGAGTGGCACCATTACTGACACACCACTGTGTGGTTGCACAGCGTGTTTTCTTGAGTGGCAGAGTTGTTCGGGTATGGCAACTTGGGAGACGCGTGTTTGTGTCCCAGTGCTGCTGCTCATCACTTCTGCTTTGCAGGCTTGGGCCGTGAACTGCATTGCTGAAATGTTCAAACTGGGGAAAGAAAATTGTGCTTGTTTTGGAAGGGCTTCTTCCTTTTTTTTTCATTGCTCACTAGTTGATCCTGTATGCAGTCAGTATGGTGACAAGCTCAAAGTTGGGGCTCAGTTTCCATTTGCTGGAGAAGTCCCATCACTGGCAGTGTTCAAGGCCAAGCCAGAAGTAGCTTTGAGCAACCTGATCTACTGGAAGATCCTATGGCAGGGGATTGGAACTGGATGAGCTTTAAGGTCTTTTCCAACCCAAACCATTCTGTCATTTTGTAAGACCCACCAAGTGGCTGCACACCAAGCTATGCCTCACCAGGCTTAGAGAGGAGGAGAAGGAAGCCTTAGCAATTCCAGGTTGTGATCAAGGATTGAAAATGAGATCTGTAATTGTTTAACCATGACGTTTGTCAGAACATCTGAAGAAGTTGTTGAGTTTACTGAGCTGCTGGCCCACATGAAAAATTCCTGAGAGAAGATAGTCAGGTTTGTGGTTTTTTAATTTAATGACCTCTTCTGATGCACAGTCAAGCTCTGCTTATCGGCTTTAGCAGGGCCTTGCATAATAGGTGGTGCTTTATTTACAGCTTCACATCCACTTGCAGACATTGAGGCACGATGATGAATTATTTAATTATAGGTATCCAAAGCAGCGAGCCAGGTGCCTGCTGAGCTGTGTTGTCTCTGGCTTCCCAGCTTTGCATGTTCTCTCACTGGCTAACTCACAAAATCCAGCCATTTTCAGAAGTGGTCTTGTTATTAATGTTAATTAGGGAGGTTCTGCTCTATGGATATTCCTGTAGCATGCACTTTGAAAACATACAGAGTGCTAAGCTCTTCACCCGTGTAACGAGCATGTATATATAGCTGTAGAGTTAATGAACTGCATTCCTCTGAGGCTGTGTGCCCCTCTTGGGAATGGCAGTTTTGGTGTTTAGCTGCTTGTGGTAGTGTAGAGCAAATCCCCCCCGAGACTCAGTCATGGACTTGTGCCGTAGTTGGGTTGTCAGACTTTTGGCCTTTGTTTTAATCATTAGTTTCCCCTCTGTGCATTCTTCTTACTAAAGAGCTCAGTTTCTAATGTTAGTTATGTTCAGGTTTGCCATTAGTACCTTGTTTTAATAAATGCTGACAAAGTACTTGATTTGATACATGCTTCAAGTAGTGGTTGGGATTTAAGTCTCCTTCAAAAAAACACTTTTATGCTGTAAGAATGGTGCTCCTTGTGATGACAACAGTTTCATCTCTCTGCCTCCTAATAACCACCCTGTGATAACACCTTCTTCCTCCAACTTACAAACAAAGCACTTCCAAGGAGAAAATTCCCCCCAAAAATGTGGAAGTGTTGTTTGTTCTGTCAAACCCAATAGGGGTTTTTTAGTGTTCTGGATTAGTATCTTTGCTGATGGGATGCTCCTGTTGTGGGTGAAACATCTCCAAGAAATACCTTCTCTCCATAACTTGGTAGAAGTATGTTCCCCTGATTGTTTTAACATTGAGGGACAGAATGGAAGATGATGGTACTCTTTTGCTATGTAGCTAAATAATATGACTATAAATGAGAACTGAGTTATACTTTAATTTTTATATATGTTCAGGATGAAAAAGCAATGTGAGATCAGCAGGTCTTTCCAGAAGAGGAGGGCTGCTCTCAAATAGGTGTGCTTTGTCCCTAGTTTTCTGTTTTCAGTATCACCAGAGAACTTTTGGTTTTGCCATTTGATTATAATTTGCATTTAGATTGGGTGCCTGAAGGGGAGTCGTTGCAAGGGGAGATGGGGCTGTATGGCTTGAGTCTCTTGCAGATCTGCCTGAAAGTAATGGCATTTACATAAAAACCATTAGCTCTGTTATTGATAAATGTGAAAGGCATCCATTTCATTTAATTTTCTGATGAGGAATCTGTAATACAAGCATACAATAACACTGTAGAAGTAACAGTCCTGCCCCCCATCTCTCCTTACTGACCTCTTGTTGTTTTAAGGGCAAGTTTTGATGAGGATTTTGTTGGTAGGGAGATGTGGAGTTACTGCTATTCCAATTTACTGAAGTAGCCAGTTGTCTTGCTGCATCGTAGGGAATTATTTAATGCTCATCTTAAGAGGTGTCTCTATTAATTGAATGGGGATTTAATGTCTCCCTGAAGCATAATTGGTCTGTGTGATGTATACTAAGATGTATGCCTAGCAACGCGTCGTCCTATTGTCTGTGTCCCAGTGCAATTCTATGGGTAATCTTTCGCTTAATCAAAATGGGTTTAAGCAGAAGTTCAGTGGCTCCTTATTAAGGGGATAAAGGGTGTTAAAACAACAAAATCTGTTAAAGGAGTTTGGTGCATGCTAGATCACAGCCTATCTAACTCTTCAGGCCTGTGTCTGATCAAGTAGTTCTTGCAGCCAGTGAGGGCAAATTTGTTTCCCCACGTGATGCTCTTGGCCACGTGTGTAATTGTGCATTGGTGACCAGCATGTAGCACAAAGAGTTGTGACTCACTGTCCCGTTAGTAGCTGGGTTTGTATAGCTCCCGCTGCTGCTGGCTTATTATATGTTGCTTTACTCTTAGGTTGGATCAGGTCTGACCTTCCTGAGAGCCTGCAGAGGCAGCTGGTGCCATGATTGATTTCAAACATTATAGCATTTGCTTGAGAGACTTTGCTGTGAGCTTTGCATGCACTTTTTGTTCTTGACCTCAGTGTTGGGGGGTGTGTGTGTGTCTGTGATGCAATTACTTAGCTGGTCTACTTGTTTGTTTCGGTTTTTTTGTTTTAAATAAAAAAAACCCCAACCCCAAACCTGCATCACTTTGTCTATATTTACAATTGTTTTTCCTTTCTAATAGGCTCCAGCCAGATGAGTAGAGAATTGGGTACAAAAAAAGGGGCAGATTCCAGTTGTCCAGCAGATCATCTTGTACAGTGAGTACCTTAGTATTTCAAGAACAGTATTTTCTATAGCCTAATGTTGACTTAAAGTTGATATCACTGGGGTGCAGCATTAAGCCTGCATGCTTGGGCAGTGTTGTCCTAGAAATACAAGCTTCTTTGGCTCAATTCTTATTTTGGGAGAAGTGCTCCAAGTCCTTTTATCTGAAGTGGTAAAATTTATTCATATCCTGCTTCCAGTAGTGTGCATGTTTCAGCAGAGTGAGAACTGCTGTGGTTATGTCTTATAACTTGCTCAAGGCTATTGGGTAATCAACACTAAAGGTGTCCTGTGTGGCTTCTTGTGCTGCAGAGCACAGTGCTCTGCAGTTAGGAGAGCAAAGGTTCACCTCCTCTATTCCAACCTTGTTAGAGGTGTTGAACTCTGAGGAGGATGGATGAGGGAACTGCTATGGCACGTGTGGGGGTTAGTCATAAAACTGTGCTGTGAAATCAGGCAAATGAGGCTTGGCTTGACTTGACTTGTGGGCTGGAAAGGGTAAGAAAAAAGAACCGGAAAGTGTCTGCTTATTCATGGTAAGGATGGCAGGTTTTCTCTGAAAGTGGAAGAGAAAATCCGTATTTCATGGGCATTTTTTACACATTAAGATATTCTGCATGCATGTTAATGGGCTGTAGTAATGAGCTCATGCTTTATGAGGTGTCTACAAATATGTTAAATTTGCTCCTGTGAGGGTCTTAAGCAAGTACTGGCTAATGAGAACATCTTGGTCCATCTGGTGCAGTGGCATAGCCTGACTGCAACAGTTAACTGCCTCCTGTAGGCATCTGCAAGCAGGGAGGATGCTTTGCTGCTGACTGTAAAATACAGGTGAGTGTGGGAGCTGCACTGACTGAGTGGGACCACTGCACAGTTTGTGTAACAGTCCCAGGAAGTGACTCCCCTAAGGGTAACATGGGACAAAGAATTTTAAAACTCTGGGTATTGGTAACAGAAGATGAGGATGAAATAAGATGCTTTGAAACTGGATTGTGTCATCAGGTTGGTTTAAATATGTTGTAGGAGCAGGCAGAGAACTCCTGTGCTTCTGTGAAAGAAGGGGAAAAAGAGGTGTACTTAGTTGTGGCTTCTTAATTCTCCTGTATCTGACCAGTATAGTGTGACATACACGATGTTCTTGGTTCAGGTGTTTTATTCCTATTCATGACAGCATGAGTTTGCCTGGTTATGATTCTGGATTCAGGGCAGTATTTCTCCCCTACTTTTACAGAGTGCTGAGCATAGTGGGGACTCTCTTCTATGCTGGTCTGTAGCACAAACACAGTGGTGAATAATAAAACTAGAGGTAGCAGGGAGGTCATGTGAAGAACAAATGATACTGTTATTGACCAACGGTGCCATCATGCCATGGTCTTAATCGACAGGTCTAATCCCAGTGTGTGTTTAGAGTCAGATCTGCTGACTTCAGTAGCTAAAATAAGTCAATACCATTGAATTCTCTTTCTCCTTGCATATCTTAAGTAGAACATAGTTAAGTTGCAGCCTGACAGCTGTGCAATCTGCAGAAGGCCACAGGGTTGCGTAGTCTTCCCTGAGGGCATAATTTGGCCTGCAGAACATTTATTATGGCTGATGTCATGTGCAGCAGGCTCACCATTGACCTTCAGAAACTGTTATTCATTTGTGGGCCTCATGGTGGCTGGAGGAATAATGTAAGAGACAAAGACTTTTGGGTTTGGCATTTTGGAGACTGAGTAAAAAGAAGACTGCAGGTATGAGTTTCGGTCAGTAGCTATGCAAAGGCTGTTTTTGGCAGAGAGCTGGAACAGAGGAGATGCTGGAAACACAGTCTGTCTATGATTGCCATGGAACAGAGAGAAAAACATGTTTAAAGGGAGTCCTTAACAAGTCATTCTGATGACATTCATTACTGTCTCTGTGGCACTAAATACCTAAATAACTAGGCTGCAGCTGGAATATGAAAATATTTTCAGGAGACTCATTTTCAGGCATCACCTGAGGCTTCCTGGCTTGGCAGCAAAGGTGAGTGTTGTGGGAGGTTGTATTGCAGGTCCCTTCCTAGGAGGATGTGGCATCATCTGTATGAACATGAGCATAGGTCTGATGCTTCCTGTGCAAGCACCAGGCTTAGCTGTGTACGTACTAGTGTGGTCTTTGCTCACAACTGCAAGTCAGAGGGCTAAGCAAGAACAGTTAGTTTAGTGTGGCAGAGAGGGTTTGTGCTGCCTGTACCTTCTGCCTACAGTTCTCCCGAAGAGCAGTGGAGAAGAGACAAATTCCTGCTTTTTGCTGATGTTCTTGGAAGTTGCTGTACACTCTTGCTTTATTAAAAACTCGGAACATGGCAAATAAACACGTGAGCTGTGGAAGGCCAGAGGTCTATCCTGTCTCCAGCAGTAGCTGCGAGAAATGGCCTTCATCTCACATTGATTTATTTAGCTCTTGTTTGACCCCACGTGTGGTAACAGGGCAGAGGCTAGAAGCACATTTCAAAATTCAACTACAGCTTTGTGTGATGGACCACCCTCTCTTAGTAACTGAACCTGCTGCCAACTGATTTCCTGTAATAAACTCCCATTTAGGGAATTGTTTGCATGTTTGCCAGTTCCATGCTGGTTGGGTTCTGTAGATCCCTGCTGTGTCCCCTGTCGGAGGTCTTTTTTCCAGGCTTTGAGCAGCCTGGTCTGGTGGAAGGTGTCCCTGCCTGTGGCAGTGGGGTTGGAACTGGATGAGCTTTAGGATCTCTTCCAACCCGAACCGTTTTATGATTCTATTACTAAAATATCCTAATTAATTCAACCATCTTCACAGAAGATGTTTCATGTCTGTGACAGTCTTCACTATTATTCTGTCCTCTTTCCTTTTGGCAGTAACTTTTGGTCATGATGCATGTCTGTTTTTTTCTCCTGTCAAGTGTTCTTACAGTCCTACTTACTAGAAGCTTGAAAGAACCATTAGGTTTCTAAGGGCCTGTCCTTCTGTTTCAGTTCTCTGCTTTCAAAACCCTGGAAAAGAAACTAGAAATTTTGTATGCTCTACATGATAATAAGCTATAAACTTTTTTTTTTTTTTCTAAAAAGCAGAAGTTTGTGTCTGATCTAAAGACTATCACAAAAGCTATGAATAAACCTGATACATTCCAGTGCACTGAGTCACTAGAACAATATAGTATTTAATAAGGAGCCTTGGCAGACATTGTGTGGCTTTGTGCTAAAGCTGTCAGCCAGGATATGAGATGTATCTTTGTATCCTGCAGCAATTTTGTGAAGCTAAATGGCAGCTGGTACATACTGCATCTTCTAAATGGGGGCAAGAAACACCGTAATGTTAAACCTTGTCTCCCCCCTCCACTGATGAAGAGGGGAAACAGTATCAAGAGAGAGAATTAGTCTTACTTAGATAAATGTAAATCAGTGTCATCAAACAGGTACTGGTTCTGCAAGGGAAAGTCAGGATGTCCCTTGTGCATAAGTGATCCTTATTAGTGCTGTGGCTTCCAAAAAGTAGAAGTGGAATGGAGTGTGATTAAAATCTTAGCACCTCAGGTTGTAGTCTCAGGTCTGCAGTGATGGTCTGACATGCCTGGGGCTATGACGAGTCTTATGTGGTTTTGTATATCTGCCCTGACATGTGTCTGTGGCTTCTGTGCTGCCCTAAGGTGAGTCATGGCTCCCACAAGGGTGGTTAAAGTCCTGCCCTGTGGGCAGCCTGGGAAACTTGGGCTTCCTCCATTCAGCTAAGGAACACTTGTGTGTTTTCCTCAGCACTGAGTCAGAGCTCCATGGATCATCTAGAGCAGTTTTCCTTTGTGTTGAGGCTTATGTTACAAGTTCTGTGCATCCTCCCCAGTGCCCCCCAGCTGCATGGCAATTCCTGCCACTGGGCTTTTCTTCTGTTTCCTTTCTGCCATCTTCCATGATACTTCCTTACTGCCTTTACAACCTAAGAACCCCCCACAGTCATTTGGGCCCCTCTGTGCTTTGCTGGTGGATTTCGTTCTGTTCAGAGATTCAGAGGATCTGGCTTTTGTCTGACTCAGCCAGTCCCTTGTTTCAAGGCACCATGTTGATCACTATTACGTTATGGTGACCATCTCTAACATAGTAATACCATCTCAAGAGCCCTGAGACTCGTCTGTGCTGGTGTGTGGTATCACAGTAGTGCAGAGTAGACCCACATGTGTCTGCAGACCAAGTCCTCATAGCATTTTTCTCCTGAAGTAGCTGGTGTTGCTGTTGTCCAGGAAAGTATGTCAACAAATGTACAGTCACTTTATTGCACAAATTTGTGCAAACACTGGTAATAAAATGCCAACTGCCTAAACTCTTACCTGGCCTGCCAAGATGTGTCACCCTTGTCACCCTCAACTGCTTCACACAGTCCTGAATGCAAACTGTGGAGTCCCCTTGGACAGGGGGCATATATGTCCTGAAGAGGAGGTAAGAGGGAGAGAAACAGGTCCAGAAACCACAGGTTGATCTGGGTTCTATCACTACCTGGGGTGTCCCAGCACCTGCTTGTTTGAAGTGAAGAGCTGTTGGTGGGAGGATTTCTCATTCTTTCCTTGTCTTCTTTGTGTATATAATGCATAAATTTTATGGTTCTTTCTCATCCTTCTTTTTACTCATGCTTATGTGAAGTTGCACACAGCTAGCTTGCCAGCCCACAGCCAGCCTGCTGTAACAATTTTGGATGTAGTTTAGTAAGAAAGTAAATTGAGAGTAATTTTTAATCTGGTTGGTTAAGAACAGCCAAATTGGCTGTTTCTCGTATTAGTTTCAGGGTTATTTTTGGCTGGGCAGTCCTTAGAGGGTGTAAATGCACCAGACATCGATCCCTCTGTGAAATCAGCTCTTCCTGGACAGCACTGGAACACTGCATCTATTTATTTCTATTTTAATTTTTTTTAATATGCTGACTGAATAATACATCCAGTGTGGAAAGGGCTTGTAAAGTGCTGAGTTATATTTTGGACTTTGGCTCTGCCCAGGAAAATCTCTTGTGATGGAGA